CCCCTGGTGGGCAAAAGGCATAACTACAGCACCTCTCCATCAGAATATTTTTGGGGGGCAGGGGGGCGCACAGAAAAGACAATCAGCAGGGGACATGAATTCTGTGCATGTGCAGTGGTGCAGAATTCTGCTGGACTAAAACAATTCTGGACAATGTATGCATTTTTGTGTCTGAGGAATATATATGCTTATTAAGTGAAACACAGCACACCTTTTCTGTTTCACTTAATAAAAACCCTGAAGGGAATTTTCTAGTTTTATCACTTTACAGGAAAAAATATGGCATTTTTAGGGGTGGAAAAAAGTCACAACAAACCAGTCAGCAACATGAGACAGCCCTTTCTTCCCAGGGGGCTGAGCCTGTCAACTCTTTGGCAATGTCAGTCTACAGTGAATCAGAGCAAGAGATGGAAGGAAAAACTGGATTTTCCTTCTTGTGTTGCAGATATCAAGCTACTCCAACACCATAAAATGACTAAACTAGGCACTATTTGGAGGTTCAGGCCGCTATGTGCTAGAAAGAGCCCCAGTGGAATACACTTATGGGACATTAAAAGGTATCAATGTCTATCCCCTTCTTTCCACATACTATATTTAATACACACCAGGATGTACTCCCTTAAGAAGAATTTTCAACAAATCCAGCTCAGATCAATAGTGACCAAAGTCATTGCATAAATCACAGAAACAACCACCTGATTGTAAAGTGAGTTAGTGGTCCTTAGTGCCATTTGCACCTTGCTGGTATTTCAGTCCATGCTTTTTCACACTCTACCCGAGCAGTTCATATAGATGAACAAGATGGGGAAGCAAGCGAGAGGTACGAAAGTGGAAGATCAGGTGCTCAGCACAACTCTCCAGGTGCAGCCTCATCCAGCTGAAATAGCATAAAGATTACTTCAGTCTATCTTGCTACTCTCTGCCACATCTGAGGCAAGACAGCAGAATTCCATGATTGATCTTATCAAATCCTACAAAGTGGTCCAGCAATGAGTGTATGAATTTGTTCTCGACTCCATTTTCCTGGCAACAGCTCATAACTTTCCCAAGAACCAACAGAGTCAATGACATGATTCCTGGATTCTTGAAGCCCTTGCTGCTGCACATGGAGTTCTGAATAGCAGCAGCAAAAGTGTCCTGATCATTATTAACTTCATTTGACTGCTTGGGAAACTCAGGAACAGCTTTAAAAGATGCTGGAGCTGTCGTCCTGCAAATTCAAGAGTACTTCCTTGGGTGATATTTGGAAGTTTCTCTATAAACACATAGACTTAACCTATTTTTAAAGAATCTGAACTCAGATTCTGCAATAACTAATAGTTTTGCAATCACCAACCTACAACAAAAAACAAAAAACAGTCCCCAGAGAAGATGTCCCTATTGTCAATGCCAAACAGGTGAGTAGATTGCCAAGTACTGGCTGTACTTCCAGCCTCTTGGCCCCAGCCCCATATTAACAGAAAGCAACCAGAGAGTTATCTGAATGCTACCTATAAATATTTGTGTAACATTCAGGGAGAATACCTAGAATCATGTTAACTGTTTAAAAATTAAACTTCAGTTCCAAGCCTTCTACATTTTATCCATTTAGCAGTTTAAGTCAACAATGGATTCAGCTCCCCACTAGCATTCAAAAAGCTGCTGCTAGCAGGGCTCTAGCTGGCCAGCAGGGACAAGGATTTTGCATTTCATAATTTTGTTTCACATTTAAAATCATGCTGAGTACCGAAGGTGAGTCACTAAACCATGGTTTTGTTAGTAGAGTCCATGAGAGATGGACAGAAGAAATCCTGTCCACACTAATACTTCACCACAACTGTAGTAAGCATGGTTCTATTCCCAGTGACAGGCTAATCATTTTGAGGAAACCAGCATTAATTCAATCCATAACACAGTAGTACATAGTCTCCTAGCATGCCCCATTATGGTTCAAATAATTCAGATTTACAGTGTAGGCAGGACTGGACCATGTTTTAACTGTGGGCCCTAGCAAATTTCTGGACCATAATTTGGTCTGGTCCTGTCTACTTTTAAAACAAGCCACATTTTAACTGTGTCATGGAGTACATCCTGTAATTGCATCATCTCCACTCCCAAAGAATTTTTTCAAAATTTCAATACTCCCTCCCATGCTGATTCCACTTAATATTTCGTCATTTAAAGAGTGGCAGAATACATTAGCCTGCAGCCAAGGGAAATTACTGTTCCTTGCCTTTACATTTGGTATCATGTTTAAGTTAAGTCTCCAAACAGTTAGCGTGAATTCACCAAGTGATGGGTTTTAGTCCATTACCACTAGGATCATTCTCAGCCCAACTATTCAATATTTATCAATTATCTGGAAGAAAACATACAAACTTTAGCAGCAATGATTTTATACAACAGAAAAATTACGAGAATAACTGTAAGGACATGTCACCTATACAGAGTAACCCAGATTGCTAGTAATCTGGGCACATTAAAACATATACTTAATTAGGGCTGTCGATTAAGCGCAGTTAACTCACATGAGTAACTCAAAAAAATGAATTGCAATTAATCTCGCTGTTATACAACAGAATAGCAATTTAAATTAAATATTTGTGGATGTACTCAAAAACAAAACAATGTTAAAGTTTAGAGCCTACAAGTCCACTCAGTCATACTTCTTGTTCAGCCAATCGCTAAGACAAACACGTTTGTTTACATTTATGGGAGATACTGCTGCCTGCTTCTTATTTACAACGTCATCTGAAAGCGAGAACAGGCGTTTGCATGGCACTTTTGTAGCCGGTGTTGCAAGACATTTATGTCCCAGATATGCTAAGCATTCATATGTCCCTTCATGCTTCGGCCACCATTCCAGAGGACATGCTTCCATGCTAATGATGCTTGTTAAAAAAATGCATTAATTAAATTTGTGACTGAACTCCTTGGGGGAGAACTGTATGTTTCCCGTTTGGTTTTACCACATTCTGCCATACGTTTCATGTTATGGCAGTCTCAGACGATGACCCAGCAAGTTTGTTTTAAGAACACTTTCACTGCAGATTTGACAAAACGCAAAGAAGGTACCAATGTGAGATTTCTAAAAATAGCTACAGAACTGGACACAAGGTTTAAGAATCTGAAGTGCCTTCCAAAATCTGAGAGGGACAAGATGTGGCACATGCTTCTGGAAGTCTTAAAAGAGCAACGCTCAGATGTGGAAACAACAGAACCCGAACCACCAAAAAAGAAAATCAACCTTCTGCTGGTTGCATCCGACTCAGATGATGAAAATGAACATGCGTCGGTCCGTTCTGCTTTGGATCATTATCGAGCAGAACCCGTCATCAGCATGGACGCATGTCCTCTGGAATGGTGATTGAAGCATAAAGAGACATATGGATCTTTAGCACATCTGGCACGCAAGTGTCTTGCAATGCCAGCTACAACTGTCCAATGCGAACGCCTGTTCTCACTTTCAGGTGACATTGTAAACAAACAGCAGGCAACATTGCCTCCTGCAAATTGTAACCAAACCTGTTTGTCTGAGCGATTGGCTGAAGTAGGACTGAATGGACTTGTAGGCTCTAACATTATACATTGTTTTATTTTTGAACACAGTTTTTTTGTACATAATTCTACATTTGTAAGTTCAACTTTCATAATAAAGAGATTGCACTATAGTACTGGTATTAGGTAAATTGAAAACTATTATTTCTTTTGTTTTTTTACAGTCCAAATATTTGTAGTAAAAAATATAAAGTGAGCACTGTACACTTTGTATTCTGTGTTGTAATTGAAATCACTATATTTGAAAATGTAGAAAACATCCAAAAATATTTAAATAAATGTTATTCTATTATTGTCTAATCGCGCAGTTAATCACAATTAATTTTTTTAATCATGCGGTTAATCACGATTTATTTAAGTCGCTTGACAGCCCTAATTTTAATACAGTTATATGTAAGGTGCCACATCCACAAACATAAGTCATATTTACAGAATAGGATATTGTATCCTGAAGAGCAAAGACTCTGTAAAAAACTTAGATCGGCGTTGTAGATAGCCTCTAACCACAAACACCTGGGAAGATGCTGTGGCAAAGAAGGCTAAGAGGACAGTAGGCTGTATAAGCAGAACTATTCAGTGGGGAGTTTTTACCTTTGCAAATAGTACTGGTGAGACCAATACTGACATACAATGTTCAGTTCTGGTATCAACCCTGATGCTTCTCAAATTTTTTTTTAAAGCAAACTACAAGATTGATTCAAGGTCTGGAAAACAAGCCTTACAAAGAGAGAGTTTAGTCTATATGGCTTATCAATGGGAAGGTGAAGAGATGAGTTGGTCACAGCCTAGGAGTAAACATACACAGAGCAGATATCTGACACTAAAGGAATCCAGACTTGCAAAGGCATAATCAGATCCAATGGCTGGAAGTTGAAGTAAAAAATTTAAACTGGAAGTAAAACACTTTTTAAAAAACCTGCGTAAACGTAATTAACCAATGGAAATAGAAAGGATGAGAGAAACTCCATCACTTGAAGTGTAAGTCAAGACTGGATGTCAGTCTAGAAAATATGCTCAAGTTCAACCAGAATTTAAGGGCCTGTTTCATGCAGATGGTCAGATTGCTTACACACAAGGGCGCTTTACAGAGAACCATAAGGGTCACTCTGGCCTTCAGTTTTGAATTTTTCATAGATTTTGAACTGGCACACAGCGGACATCACCAAAGACTAAAACCAGGTCATACTATTTGTATGGTACTTATAAAGTTTATACATTTTACTGTCAACAGCCATCAGAATTTAACAGGTCATAACTAGTGGGCAGGGTGACCTAGATTCGCAGTCACCCAGACTTCACCACTTCGGTATGAACTGATGAGGCTATGCGAATAGGGTAAAATGCAACTTCGAGCTACCGCGCTCCAAGCCTGGATCAAACCTTAAAAAGCCTACTTTAACCCCCCCCCCCCCCCCCCCCACACACACACACACATTTTAAACAGGGGAACAGAAAACGCTAACCCCGAACAACAACAAACCCTCTCCTGCAGGGCTCGCATTTCAGAGGCTCGGCGAGCGAGGAGAAGGACAAGGCCACCAGGAGGAGGAAGACGAGCGGCGCCGCAGGGCTAGGACACAGCCCCCGGTTTTGTCCCGTGCTGTCAGGTGGGCCACGGTTAACCGGAGAAAGGATCAGGTCACTCCCTTCCCCGGGTTAAAGCCGGTGCCCGTCCCCAAGACGCCGGTGTCCCCTTCCTTCAGCCGCCGCTCCTCTCTCCTCAGGGCAGCGCGGCCCGAGACCCCCCCCCGGCCGGCCTCTCTCCTCAGGGCAGCGCGGCCCGAGACCCCCCCCCGGCCGGCCTCTCCCCTCAGGGCAGCGCGGCCCGAGACCCCCCCCCCGGCGGCTCTCCCAGGGCAGCGGCCGAGACCCCCCCTCAAACCCCCAAACCCCCCCCCTTCTCAACTTCCTCAGAACCCCGGCGCTCTCTCCTCAGGGCAGGCGAGACCCCCCCGGCCCTCCCTCAGGGCAGCGCGCCCGAGACCCCCCCCCCCGGCCGGCCTCTCCTCAGGGCAGCGCGGCCCGAGACCCCCCGGCCGGCCTCTCTCCTCAGGGCAGCGCGGCCCGAGACCCCCCCCCCCGGCCGGCCTCTCTCCTCAGGGCAGCGCGGCCCGAGACCCCCCCCCGGCCGGCCTCTCTCCTCAGGGCAGCGCGGCCCGAGACCCCCCCGGCCGGCCTCTCTCCTCAGGGCAGCGCGGCCCGAGACCCCCCCCCGGCCGGCCTCTCTCCTCAGGGCAGCGCGGCCCGAGACCCCCCCCCGGCCGGCCTCTCTCCTCGGGCAAGGCGCGGCCCGACGGAGCCCAGGCTGGGCAGCGGGGGGTGCGGCCGCCCTGCCCCGGACTCCTCTGGCCCCGGCGCGGCTCAGCCGAGGTGGCCCCAGCGACCCGCCCCCCCAGGCGCGGGTCCCGCCGCCCCCGCCCGCTCTGCCCCGCGGCCGCCTCGCCCTCCGGCCCTGCCCCCGGGGCCCGCGCAGGCCCCCGGCGGGGCGGCGGGGCGCGGACGCCGCGCTCGGCCCCTGGGGCGGCGGCGGCTCGGACACTCACTCGGGCAGGTAGGTGGAGGAGAAGCTGCTCCAGCGGTGCAGGGTGTAGCCCAGCACCCGGCTCTCGGGCCCGGCCGGACCCGCGGGCCCCGCCGCCGCCGCCATCTTGTCAGCAGCAGCAGCAGCAGAGGGGGGAGGGGCGGGGCAGCCGCTCTTAAAGGGGCCGCCGCCCTGCGGAGCCTGCGGGGAGCCGGGGCCCGGGAGCGGGCTGGGGAGGCGAGAGACTGGCCGGCCTGTCAGTGCAGAGAGACAAGCGGGGACACAGTGCGGCCAGCTGACAGACAGGCATGACAGACCACCAGGCAGCGAGACAGACAATCCGACGGACCCGCGGCAGGCAGACGGGCAGAGATTGCCGACACAGTCAGACCCGCTGCAGACAGACATTACAGACCACCAGACAGACATTACAGACCACCAGACAGACCCACTGCAGACAGACATTACAGACCACCAGACAGACATTACAGACCACCAGACAGACCCGCTGCAGACAGACATTACAGACCACCAGACAGACATTACGGGCCACCAGACAGACCCGCTGCAGACAGACAGGGGCGGACACACCAGACAGACATTACAGACCACCAGACAGACCCGCTGCAGACAGACATTACAGACCACCAGACAGACATTACGGGCCACCAGACGGACCCGCTGCAGACAAACATTACAGACCACCAGACAGACATTACAGACCACCAGACAGACCCACTGCAGACAGACATTACAGACCACCAGACAGACCCGCTGCAGACAGACATTACAGACCACCAGACAGACCCGCTGCAGACAAACATTACAGACCACCAGACAGACATTACAGACCACCAGACAGACCCGCTGCAGACAGACATTACAGACCACCAGACAGACCCGCAGCAGACAGACATTACGGGCCACCAGACAGACCCACTGCAGACAGAGGGGCGGACACCGCAGACAGACATTACAGACCACCAGACAGACATTACGGGCCACCAGACGGACCCGCTGCAGACAGACATTACAGACCACTAGACAGACCCACTGCAGACAGACGGGCAGACACTGCAGACAGACCCACTGCAGACAGACATTACGGACCACCAGACAGACATTACAGGCTACCAGACAGACCCGCTGCAGACAGACATTACGGACCACCAGACAGACCCATTGCAGACAGACGGGCGGACACTGCAGACAGACCCACTACAGACAGACAGGCGGACACTGCAGACAGACATTACAGACCACCAGACAGACCCATTGCAGACAGACGGGCAGACACTGCAGACAGACACGCTGCAGACAGACGGGCAGAGATTGCCGACACAGTCAGACCCATTGCAGACAGACGGGCAGACAGTGCGGACAGACATTATGGACCACCAGACAGACCCACTGCAGACAGACAGGCAGACACTACAGACAGACACGCTGCAGACAGACGGGCAGAGATTGCCGACACAGTCAGACCCATTGCAGACAGACGGGCGGACGCTGCGGACAGACATTACAGACCACCAGACAGACCCACTGCAGACAGACGGGCAGACACTGCAGACAGCACAGGCAGACATCACAGACAAGTAGACAGCCCCTCGTTGCAGACATTGCCAGCAGACAGGCCGACACAGCAGACAGCCAGACCCAGACTACAGCCATTGCAGGCAGCCTCGGTCACATTGCAGAAAGACAGATGTTGCCGACAAGCAGACAGACATTGCAGACATAACAAACAAGCAGACAAACGTTGCAGACAGGCCCACACTGCAGGCAGCTATTGTAGATGGGCAGGGCAGGCCGGCAGTTCAGTGAGTCTGGCTTTACTGGCTGTCCGATGGGACTGTCTCTCTCTCTCTATGTGCTTACCTTGTGCTCTGGCATGCAGGCACTTCCAGGATGAGGACAGAATTGAACCCTTGGCCGACTGCACGGATGGACAGACGGGGCAGGGGCTCACAGACGCATGCTGAGATCCAAGACCAAGTGGTTTCTGGCAGGCCAAGCTCTGCTCCGTCCCTGGGTTGCAATGTGGTGGCGTGTCTGCTAGGAGCCCCAGTAATAGAGTGAGGACCTGCCTGGCACTGGGCAGCAAAGAAACGGATACAAAAATAAACTACAAGAAAAGGGCTTTGTCCCTTAGGATTATTTGTCATCACCACCCATTGCTGGTTCATGGCTGCTGTGTGCCATCTCATTTATGTTTTCTGATATCACAGATGTTAGAGATGGAGAGGCCTGTTAGACAATCAAGTCCATCTCCCCTTGGCCACTGTAGGACTGTATTTGATAGTGTCTTGTCTAAGATCTTCAGAGCAGGGGTCCTTTTTGTTTGGTGTTTGTACAGCACCTAGCACAATGGGGTTCTGGTCCATGATTGAGGCTCCTATCTGCTACCACGGAACAAATAAGTCCCATGTGATGGGGTTTCCACCACATCCCTTGGTAGACTATTCCACAGCCTAGTGCACCTCAATGTCAGAGTGATATTCAGCCTAACTTTCCCCTTTCTTAATTTCATATCATTCCTTTACCCACTGCTACTAAGCTAAAGAATTCCTCTCCCTCCCTAAAAAAACAAAAGGAGTACTTGTGGCACCTTAGAGACTAACAAATTTTCTCCTTTTCTTTTTGCGGCTACAGACTAACACGGCCGCTACTCTGAAACCTCTCCCTCCCTAGTCATCACTTAGCCTGGCTGGGATGATTTAGTTGGTGTTGGTCCTGCTTTGAGCAGGAGGTTGTCCTAGATGACCTCCTGAGGTCTCTTCCAACCCTAATATTCTATGATTCTAAGTAGGACACATTCTGTTCTTGTATTCTTTGCTGAGAAGTCAGTCCTTCCAGTGCCAAGATGTTTTTTATTCATCTTCCCTAAATCCCCTCCAGTTATTCAGTATTATTAATAGTATTTATTATTTGTATTACCATAGTACCTAGGGTCCCTAGTCATGGACTAACACCTGATTGTGCTAGGCACTGTGCAAACAGAACAAAAAGGACGGTCCCTATCCCAAGGAGCTAAAAATCACCTTCTGGTAATGTGGTGCCTAGAAGTGAATGTATTGTTTTAGGTCGGGTCAGTCCACAGCCCTTTAGAGAAGACATTTTACCTCCCTACTCTTGACTGTGTGGCTTTTTCATAAGCAGTCCACCTCAGCATTGGCCTTTTCCTTGTGACCAAATCACCACTGCAAATTCATAGCTAACTTGCTATGTAACACCATTACTGTTTTGCAGATTTCTCCCTTCCATTGAATATCTGTATTTCAAACCCTCCTCCCCCGAAAAGTTGAAACTAGACAAATTGAGACTGGAAATAAGGCGTACATTTTTAACGGTGAGAGTAATTAGCCATTGAAACAATTTACCAAGAGTTGTGATAGATTCTCCATCACTGACCATTTTTAAATCAAGATTGGATGTTTTTCTAAAAGATCTGCCCTGGGAATGATCTGGGGGCAGTTCTATGGCCCATGCTATATAGGAGGTCAGACTAGATGATCACAGTGGTCCCTTCTGGCCCTGGAATCTGTGAAAACATATCAGTCTGCATTTCTGCTGAATTTAACTGCATTGTTTGCTGAACTTCTGTCCATTTCTTTAATCCACCTTTGTGTTATTTCTGAGTGCTCTCCACACTTCCACACAGGTTAGAGTCATCTGCAAATTTCATAAGTGTGCAGAGTTAGGCTTGCAGGATGTTTTCTAAGGTTAGAGGGACAGCTGGTACTACCTATCTAGGTACTTATATGACCCATGTCACTGTTTGAGCACCTCACAATCATTAATGGATTTTATCCTCATAACACCCCTGTGAGGTAAGATCCCCATTTTACCCAGGTCTCTTGAGTCCCAGTCCAACACTCTATCCACTAGACCTTCCTTCCTACACTGACTCTTATTGTCCAAATGTGCTGCAATATATTTCAAGTAGATACCACAGTGAGGAGTATGTGGGGGACAGAGAGAGTGATAATTCATTCTTGCTTCCTTTTCCAACCGAGATAGCTGCAGCCTCAGATGGTGGGGCTGAAGGAGGCTTTATTCCTTGAGTAACTTCTTTGGACGTGATGGTGGAGACATATGCAGAAGTTACTGTGCACTGACTGGTGGATCTTGTGGCGCTATCAGCTGATGTTATGAGCCTTGTTTCTGTGATGCCCCAGTAAAAGTTTATGTTTGATTTAGGGTTTGGAATGGCGAATTTAAAGGCACCATTGAACTTATCCAAGTAAATAACACAATGCAACAGTTCCTTCATATATTTTACATTGGTTCTGAGCAGAGCTACTGTAGGTCAGGGGTAGTCAATTGTTTTTTGTCAAGGTCCAAATGTATTGGTCAAAGTATAGTCAATGTCCAGACTCCAGAGAAAATAATACAAAAATAATAATAATAATGATAAATAATAAGTAAATAAAAAGATTTCGGGGTCAGTTCAAAAGCATCTGGTGGTCCGGATTTGGCTCACGGTCTGCCTATTGACTACCCCTGCTGTAGGTATCCCTGGAAGCCATGCACATGTTTTTCATGTGACCCGACAGAACATTTTAGTGTGGGCTGTGGTGAGGAAGTGCATGCTCTGCTGCTCCAATGCACCCAAGACTGAGGGTTGCTGGGATTTCATTCGATGCAACATGTGTGGGAAAAGTGGACCTGTTTACAGGCAGTGCCTAAAGGCATGGCACAATTGAGAAAAACATCATTCCTAGCCTCACAAGGACCCTTCTTTGCCAGGGGATCAAAGGATGCCAAACAACTCTGCAAGAATTGGTGAAAGCCCCATTTTGAGTGGCAGGGCCTCCCTACTTTTGGAGGAAGGACTGACCTTGTACTTTACTGATACAAGATTGGGAAGGGGTCAGGGTAAGGGAGTAGGAACCACTGAGAGCCAGGACAGTAGAGATGGGACATGAGCACTAGTAAAGTGGGAGACACAATCAGAGATGGAGTGGGGAGAGAATAAGAGAAACTGGGGAAGGAAAATCCACAGGCGAAATTTGTTATGCAGGAATCCTAACCACCATAGAGGGATTAGCAGGCTATTGGTCTGGCAGACCCTACAGCTGGGAAATAGGATTTGATGTGCTTAACTTCAGAAATAGAAGAGTTTATTGAAATCACACATGGAAAGAGAGGATCCAGGGAGACAGCTGGGCTTATAGTGACTGAGAGTGCCCTACAACTGTCCAAACTACACAGCATTTTCTCAGTTCCAACACGACAGGTTTCCTGTATTAGGTGCTATTGTGGATGAGGAAGAGAAGAGAGAGGAGTCTGTGGGTGCGTCAAACATGCATTCATTGAGGGAAAGGGACCCATGAGCTATTGGGTCTCAGCTACTTCAAAAAGAACTATCAGAAATGGGATCAAGATCTGGGGACACAGAAAGTCTCCCAGTCTGTCAGAAATGAATGAGTCAGCAAGGAAAAAGTGGGTAAACAAAAAAGAACAAGAGAGGAAGGTAAGTCAGATGGTTTAATAGCAACAACAAGGCAGTCAACTGGATGGGAGCCACAAGTAGCTGCGAACCTTTGTTTAGATGATACTGAAAATTGCAATTTAGAACATGTGCTCCATCCTGAGTGTGCGCCGGGGCAGATGATCTTTCAGTTTTTGGATGGGCAGGATTTGGTTCTAGTGGATATCCAGGAAATGAGACAATGTTCTACGTGTGACATTTTGTAGCTCAGAGGAACTGGAGGAGAAGCCCATCTTTTTTGGTCCATTGAGCTCATGGAGTAGGGGTAGTTTTATACTTATGTGGTATCGGTGCAGAAGGTGGTAGAATTACAGCCAGGAGAGGGTTATTAGTGGATTTCAGTTATTTGAGTGTGAAGCATCATTGTATCACATCTGTGGCCCACAGCGTCAGAAGCTGAGGAAAGATCTTTTTTATAGAGGTTGCTCCTTTTTCATTAATGGCTCGACAGTTGTTTTTAATGGGGGATTTTAGTCATTTAGCTGCAGTGGCTGACAGAGCAAAGCAACTCAAAGAATTATGAGCTGTGGAAACTTACAATCAGTGTGTGATTCCACTGAGAGTGATGTTTTGGGGCATCCTAATTTAAGGAAGAAGGGGGCATTCATATTTTTTGGAGGGGAAATGGTTGGTTGATTGGACAGGGTGTTTGGGAAACCAATCTCAGTGAGCGGATGCTTCAGAATGCAGCCTCTAGAATTTTCTTATCTCTGTCTTGGTCCGAGTTAAACTCAGGGAGTACAAAACAGTGAACTTTGGCCATGGTTACAGGAAACTAAATACGTGTTTATTTAATAACGCAGTGGCATGTGGAAAGGTCAAAGGCATCTTTATGGAACAAGAGACAGTTCATGAGTTTTGTTCATCCCAGACAGAATGGTGGGAACTGACTGAGAGGAACCTGGTGACCTCCCTACATTCCTTTTCATGACATCTGTATACATCTGATTATAAGCATTATTTAGTATTGCAGAGCCATCTGAGAAATCTTCATAGTCGACTGCAAGCTGGGGAACACATAGATACAAGCGTCTTAGAGAAAATTAAGAAGGAAGTGGTTCAGTACTGAAGGAGATAGCTGGAATGAGATAAATTTGCAAAGGACTTCAGGACAAAAGGTGGGGCAGCCTGCTGTAATGTATTTGCAGGATGTGAGGAAGAGACTGCAACAGGATATGATGGTGTTATGGGATCCTAGTGCTGGGCATGTCCACAGGGACCCTGCTGGCATGGTGAGGATAGTTCAGGAATATTACAGTGAGATCTTTCGGGAACATATCATTCTGCCTTTCCAGCAGCAGCAGTTTTTGGATAGTATCACGGATTTTCCAACATTGGCAGATAAGGAACAGGACTCATTTGTGAGGCCAATAGAAGAAATGGAAGTACGTGCAGATATCTAGTTACTGCAGAAGGGAACTGCCCCAGGAGTCGATGATTTGACAACAGAATTTTATGAGAGGTTTATAGGTCTCCCACTCTATGGTACTCTCATGTGTTTTCAGTGATGGATTACTCTTGAGGGCATTCTGCACCAAAAAATTAAAAATTCTGTGCCAAAAAATTAAAAATTATGGCACACAATATTTTAAAATTCTGCAAAATTCTGAACGTTTTATTTGTCAATAAATAAATGCGGAGGCTC